ACATTTGTCAACTACAAGGTAGTTCAGTTTAGCTATACCACACTTGACCCATGACAATCTGCTGAAAGATGTTGGCTCTGAATTCTGCGTTTGTCAGATGGCAGCAAAAATCTTCATGTTAACGGTTTCTTGTGGTTATTTATGTAAGTATTGATTTCGATGTTTGCCAGTATTGGTGCAAGTTCCATCGAGCAGGTGTTTCAAAAAAAAAAAATGATCAGTTATTTTACAACGCACATGCACACTCTGCGGTTAAGTATAGAGATTTTCTTTCATGGGTCAACGTTTTCACGATGATAACACTATAAATGAGCAGCTCATAAGAAATAATAAAAAAAAAAAATTAGAAGATAAGTACTTATATTAATTCAAAACAGCCCTGCGCATCGATCCTTGTATTGGGTTTTCATTCAAAAGGTTTTGGCGCATTTTAAATCGATGTTGCTCTGTTAATAATTACTCTTCTTTAAATAAATGCTAAACGTCAAGGAAGTCAAGTCAAGGTATATTATTCTACAACTAAGCAAAGGCTTCGTTCTTTGCATGAGTGACTTACCACTGACAAAATCACATATCATATTCTAAACCGCCTTACTCTAATGTTTAAAAGACAATTATCGCTAAAGCGATATAAAGTAATTTATTCCAAATGTATTTTGGTTATTTATCATAATATCAAAAAGCTCTTTTCAGAACTTAACTGCCAAACATGAGTGTGATTTAAATATATTCCCGACAGCGAAAATAGCAAAACTTCCCTGCGATTTGTAAGTCTACGCACGTATACAAATACATAACTTCCTGCCATAACTATAACGAGTGGCACGTTTTCTAGTTATAGACCCATATGCCCTCATAAAATTTACATCAACATCAGTTCAGCAGGTATACACGGTAATGGTCCGGCGAAAATATCACAACACTTTTGTCTAGCATTACTTATTGACCAAATTTTTTTATTATAAATATTTTTTCAAGCGTTTGGTGGCAAAAGCAAAACTGAGAAACTTAAATAAAGGCCAGTACTTTAACTGATCAGGCTGCTGCTGAGAATAAGAATTATGAAGACCTTACCTGATGTGTGTATAAATTGAAGCCTCACTGAAACACCGAAACAATGGCTGACGGTTTTGTTGTTAATAATTTTCAAAATCCTAAAATTTGTTTCTTTTAGCTGAAGATCTGGAAGGGCATAAATCAAAGCGGCTAATAAAAATCATAGAAAATTAGATGTAATTCCATAGAACATGCAGCTCAATTTGTTATTGTACTTTTTTGTTGTTGTGTCTATTGGCGAAGGTTGGTTTTCACATGCGAATGAGAATATTAGCACAAGCAATATACGCAAAGACAGTAAAGTGCTAAAGGTAGCGCCTTTCTCGCCTTCTTTTAGGACATGCCCCCAACGACTAAGATGGAAATAGCTCTAACGCAACGCATTTAAAATAGCTCATTTTATACTGAGCAGCGCAATTCCTCTTCCCAAAATACATGTAGAAGAAAAAAAAAATTTTTTTCCTTTTTGAGATTAAAACGCACAAAAGCCGAAAGTCAAAAAAGCACAGTGTACTAAATTGAAAAGACCGGGAGATTTTATGAGAACAGTTTGATTGGCTTCACGATAATTGCACCCTTCCGTCAATAACTTTGATGTGAATTCACCAAACATTGTTTATCAGGCAATAATTATTCTCCATAATATTTGAATGACAAAATGTTGTGGACATAGAGATCACTGCACGACGCTGGCTTGTCTATCTTATTGGGCACTGAAGCTTTATTGCTGTGAAGCGATCTAAACCTGCCTATGTCAATACCATGCAATAGACCATTTTCCATAAATTAAAATTCTAACTTGGCTCCGAGGCTTGGGGGAGTAAACCAAAAGGAATCGCATCGGGGTTAAGTGATGGATAATTAATTTCTTTTGTTTTATTCCCCCAATCCTCGATGCCATGTTAGAATTTGAATATATCAAAAATGGCCTATTCACTTCCCTCCGCCATTATCTACAGTATTCACACTGAAAGTTGAAATTAATCGAAAGCTCTATTTTCATGAAAGGGTCTTTCAAATAATAACCTATTTTAGTCTCATCAAACTTTTTCATCTGCTTGAATATCTGCTTCACTGTCATTGCCTCAATGAGGCTTACGGAAGCAGTTGCACATGTTCTCCGGTGACATCGACCACCACATGCATCAGGAGAAGAAAGGCGCTTATTAAGAGTTCCTTATTCATATTCAATGTTCATATTTCGGAATATTTAGTGTTCTAATTAAATCGACCGTATCTCGTTCCCCATACAATCCCTTATAAAGCGTTCAAATTGTCAGTTGCTCCTCGCACAACCTAACACCGCGTCAGCCTAACACCGCGTCAGCCTAACACCGTCTTTCCCCCAGGACTCACGCAACGCGCGCGTGACGCTTTTGTGAATAAATACGTACGTGACCGAAAAATTAATTTATTTTTCGCTTTTCTCGAGAAGTGACCTTGGAACGCCTGTGGTTACATGTCCCTCCGTCTGCGTAGGAGGGTGGCCTTTTTGCAAAGTCTAGCATTTACATAAGCCACCGCTATTATAACAAACTACCACATATACTGATGCAAGAGAAGAACAAGAGTACTACCGACTGCGTGACATGCATTCAAAGGGTAGGGAAAGAGGGGATTCTAGAAATGCGAAGCACGATCGACCGCTTGATAAAGTATGCAAAACCCAGGAAGCTGTGAAATGTCTGGCTGTCAAAATGATCCAATCAGAATCGCGCCGCTTCTCAGCGGATCCCCGTTGGGTTTTCCAATTTCTTGTTTTTCTCGCCAACTTGTTGCGAGGAAATGGCAGAATATAAACACCCGATTCAAAGGATAGAAAGGCCAAAAAGAGGTCGCCCAAAAAAGAAAATAATTGTAATGTGATATATAGATTTTGCGAGGTAAATCGTGAGCTTTCGTATCAACTATGATGTAACGAAATTTTGCGTGAATTTGTTTAAGTTTTCCAAATTCTTTCTTCAGCGATTGGAGAGTTATGCCCCAATCTGTCCAGCTTTGACAGGCTGGAAAACTCATGCCCTTGATTTCGTTAATGTGGCGTTTGCAATGCTGGTTAGTGGCATTTTGACCCCATGAAGACATGCAATAGTCCTACCCTCGGCTCTTCTCGGAACCAACACGGGCATCTTTCTATGGTCTGCAAAACGGCACGCAGATCTTTCCCTTCAAAGCTCTGATTGCTTTCCTCTGCTCTACTGTCAACTCGTACTTGAAAACGCTTCCTTCCAATGGATGGAGTTTTAAAACGATTTACCTGCCTTGTTGAATGTAATCGAGAAGACGCTAAAGTACTTGAATGAAATGTCACTGACCAATCAGAGCAATCGATAAAGTACTTAAATGATTCTGACTAATCATGACTTTTTCGTTCAAACAATTTCGTGCTTGCAGGCGTTCCCTTCTCTCTCCGCACTTCTAGTCTCTCCTTCCCCTTCCCCTTTGATCGCCCATCTTTTAGGCTAGCTAACCTGAGGAATAAATAAAATTTAAATAGAGAAACATAAATTTGAGTCCTAAGTAGATGTGCGACAAAGCCACCCATTGTACCTATTTACCAGCGATGTCTGCATGGAAAGTAAAGATTAAATGCCTATTTCGTATATACAGGTATATATTTTTTTGCTAAGATAGTATTGTATGTTAATATTAAGCCATGTTATTATAAATATGACATTATAAAGATATTATAAATAAGTAGGATATTACAAGCAAGTAAGATATTATTTAACTGATAAAGAAGCCTTGACTGTGCTCTGTTCTGTTGTAAAGCACGCAGAAAGTGGTATAGAGCACGAAATAAGTGTAGGACGATACACGAGACGTGGTCGAGTGTTCACCCCTACTTCTTGGGTGCTCTACCGCTTTCTAGTTGCTTTCCAACAGAACAGTGCACTGTCGAGGTTTCTCTCTTTGTTTTATGATAAACAATCCATTGATTTCCCCACGCATTGGGCTGAATTTTCAAACTTAACTTTACTTTCCAGAAGAGTAAAAATGGCGTCAGCATGCATCTGTTCTCTAAGTTTTCATTCCACGACAAGCGACGCTGGAGTCAAGTTTGACAGTGGCGTGATTTTCCTGGTCCAATCACAATTCTTTGCTACGCATAGCAACCAACGAGATTGCTTCATTTTGCATAGACAATAGATTACTTCACATGGCTTTTTTCGTGTTCGTCAAAGTTGGGAAATGCCAGCTTTCGAGTAATATTGACAAATTTTGAAATATTAATAAAAAAGGCTTGATCTGTAGTAGTTTGTTTCGTTATTATATAAAACAAATAGATTCCATGTTGCGGTGCGTCTGTTCAGTAACAGATCACAGAAGACGTCAAAATGTGGTANAGAACATCAGTGACACACTCGGCTATCGCCTCGTGTGCCACTTTTTTGTTTTTACCACATTTTGACGTCATCTGTGATCTACTACTGAACAGACGCACGGCAACATGGAATCAATTTGTTAAATAGAAACACGAGTGGAAGTTTGGGAGAACGAGAAATGCTGTGGGAACACGAACCGCAGGCGAGTGTTTCCACAGCTTTTTCGAGTTCTCAACGGTGTTACATCTCCTCGTGTATTCTCTCATCGTTGCGTTTTGCCAGTGGGTTTAACTTTAACTTAACCTACGGATTAAAACCTCAAGTCAGTGGCATCAAAATTGTCACTGTTCACAGACGATCCATTTTCCAAGTTGAGTGGCTCACAGCCACTTTGATTAGTTTAATTTTTAAAATAAGGATCTAAAAGGTTTCTAGTCCAGAGGAATCCGGCCGCATTGTGGCTCATGAAAATGTGCACTTTTCCAATGGAAATTACGAAACAAGAAGCTCAAAGCTTGCGCCGGGATTAAAATGCGAAATACTGAGTTGTATTTGAATGGAGCGACAGTTATTTACGGCTTGCAGCCGTTTACAATGAGACTGCCCGAACTACGTTTCAAGGGTATTTGCCAAGAACAGTCTAATAAAGAACATATTTAAAGAGGACAAAAAGTTTGATAGCAGAACATGATTCTTTTTTTTTTTTTGGAAAATAGTTCCGTACTGGGTGTATTTTGGCCAAGGCGAGGACTTCAAGCTAACCACGGAACTGTCCGAAAAAGTGCAATATTCCCACAACCAGGCAATCAAAAACGGCTTAAATGAAGCAATATTGCTTATGTGAATAAAAGAAGCTTTACTTTCAAGATAAAATTTTGTCTTTCAAGTAACCAAGACTTAATTCTGTATGAAGGTGATTCGAATTGTTAANGCCAAGGCGAGGACTTCAAGCTAACCACGGAACTGTCCGAAAAAGTGCAATATTCCCACAACCAGGCAATCAAAAACGGCTTAAATGAAGCAACACTGGTTT